TCACATATACTAATGTGCCACAAACAGGACTTTAATATCACCAACCATTCCCATTTTATTACGGTGTATCCATATAAATGGCCCACCCTGTAGAACAAAGAGCCACCGACTCTTGTCTTTGTTATTTAAAGTAAAAATCATGTCATGTATCACAAGCATACACAATATACAAGGATTGATATGCTGGCTACACCATGAATCGTCACTCATATGGCAAACATATCAGGCACAGCTTGACCTTTCCAGCATGCCTGCTACACAACACATCCCATCTACTCCCACTGTGTTCTGCCTGCTGACTGTATGACAGCATACTGTGGCAGTGCCAGCATGTAAGCATAGCCATGAGGTCAAATGGAGTTTAATTCTCAATAGTTACACAGAGTTCAGTTAGTCTATTTTTATTGTGTAACTAGACAATAAAAATGTTTTTCCACACAGGTTTCATGTAGCATAGATCATCCGAGAAGCTTCTTCAGTTCTAAGGTCAAATGGTGGGGACCTTAGAACTGAAGAAGCTTCTCGGATGAGAGGCGAAACGTCTTCAAGCAACTTAAAGAAGTCCAGACGCTTTTCTTTGCAATCTCCTTTGACTACGATGACCTGGATGACTGAGAACCTTCACAGACATTCTCTTTTATTCCGAGTTGGATGTGATTTGCTTCATTTACCATCTCATTTGTCACTGGAATCAGCTCAAACATTTTCACTAGCATGGAAATGTAAAAGCCCCAAATGCATAATCAGGCATACTTCATGTGCAGCATTCCCAGATTCATTTACATCCTTCAAATACCAGATTGTCACAGCAATCAGACTTGCTCAATATTGCTGTTTGTCACATAGCCAAACAAGGATAATCACTCACTTTGAAATTTTCCAGTAAATTTCACCTTCAGTTGTTTCACCCCCAGTGAACCATAATCATTAGCTTGATTACTGGACATCCAGGAAAAAAAATGAAGTCACAGCCAATTAATGCTACTGCCAATAACTCAATCACGCCAGCATGTTAGATGGTGCAAGTAGCCAAACAAATGTTGCCCATAAATATGCAGTTGTCTTCCAACTCTGCCAAAGCAATCATTCTGCATCATTAAATTTCACTTTGCTGAGAGTAATGTCAGCATTAACCCAACAGCCAATAGATCTTAAGTGGGAGATATGAGTTATTATCAGTTATTTATATTGTTTTACATTTTCTAAGCTTGTTAAATTAAATGGGGCTTTGAAAATCTGCTGGGTCCATGAAAAACTGTTTTTTAAGGCTTGAAAAGTTGATTCCCACCTTCATAGTGGTCGCAGCAGATGGCTGGCCATTTTGCACTAGATGAATAAAATTTAATTAAATTGAATTTGCTTTGCGTATGTGAATCTTAAATAGGATCTGTGAGACTCTCCTTTCTCTCACAATAGAGTCCTGTCTTTCACTTTAGTGACTATATTGTTGTAGGACAGCCATGTCTCCTAATGCACGTTTATGGAGGCTGCAGGTCTGTCCGCAACTAAAATATTTAGGAATTTTCAGACAAATATCAAATGGATGCATATTTATTTCCCACAGGCTCCTCTTGACTGGGTCTTTGCCCCCACTGTGCCCACTTGAATTCCTGGAAACACTTTTCTCTGTACCATCTTCTTTCTTTAAATGAGACACACTTAGGGTTTTTCTGACAGCTAGGATGGGTGACTAAACATGTAAGCACAATTACTTTGCAAAGGCCAAGAGTTTGTGTTATCCTATTCGAAAAGAATGTATGTTATTCCTATTTTTTTTTTACCATTTAATAAGTTTAACAAATTTCTACTATGTTCAAGTAGAGGAAACCTCTATTAACAATTGAGTGTAAACATTTTTTCTTTCTTCACTTTGCTGCACTGCACACACACCTCTATTTAAAAATCATGTGTTGTCACTAACAGCTCTGATGTGAGGAACGATGCAAAAAAAAAGAGGCTGACGGTGCGCATTAGTCACTGTAATGACTTCAAACTCTGTTCATGAGGTTTTAATTACTTTGCCTGATACAGGTGAGGAGGGACACTGGGCATTCATTTTTATACATCATCAGTGGCATTTCATTACAAACATGTAACCTGCCAGATGGTGTTCAGCAGAACATTTCAGGGGATGCTTTAGAGCTGGGGTATCAAACTCATTTTAGATTATGGGCCCCATACAGCCCACTTTGATCTCAAGTCCCTTTTCTGTCAGTATAGAGAAGTTTATTTGTACATTTAATCCTGAAGATGAATATTTTCTTAATATAAGGAAAATACATGCAAAAGTATGTTTCTGTAATACATGATTTGGGCTTAAATTATTAGAAGTGAATGTGTAAAATTACAGAAGGAGTTCTGGTAACTCCAGACTGTCCTGTAAGTATAAAACTGAAAGTTTATATTTTTTAACAAATTTTGTTTCAACGATTGTAAAAACTCTGTTTATCTATTATTTACTCACTTTGTTATAGTAGGACTGCTATGGTCATGAGAGCAGTCTTTATTAGTAAGAAGAGATTTAAAATTTATGAAAATAAAGTTAGAAATCCAAAATTTATGCCATCCTTCACATTCTCCAAAGCACTCCGGCTAGCTGGGTTGGAGTCTTTGTTGGGCCAATTCTGGCCCCAGGGCCTTATGTTTGACAACCCTGCTTTAGACAATTCAATGGTCTAAACTCCTATAATTTTTCTTGTCTTACAGCACATATTTACCTGTGATGTCCAGGATAAAGGCAAACAAAGACAAGGTGAGTTATGACTTTATTACAGCATCAGTAGGCGCCGTTGTTTCAAGAGGAAAATGGGTAAATGACTTTTAAAGAGGGTTCACTGTTGGAGATTCACTTAAAAACAAACCGCTCACCTGGATAGTGTTTTAATAGAAACAGCTGCACTGAAGCCAACTGAGTTATTCTTATGCATCAGTGTGATATAAAAGGAAAAACAGAAGAGCAATTCTCCCTCAGCCAAGTGAGAATCTCAATGACGACGTGATCAGACTGCCAGTAAGAACATGCTTGAAGGCCAGATGAGTCATCCTTCACCAAGTTCTCAACAAGTAGATGAGTGCATGGGTGAACATGTAAGAGTAACGCATTAAGAAAATTTCCACGCATTAAACAACATAGTTCCAAAACCAATAATTTATTTGGAACATACAACAGCACAGGAGAGCCTGTGGAGTGGTTATGAACCCTCCCGCTAATGGAGCAAGGCTTGCGAGCTTGTCGAGAGCTGCACTCTGATAGTTTCCACTTCAAGCATACCACATCAATTTGGCCGTCTATTAAAGACGCAGAATTTTCCATGTTCACATGTTCAACCCTTACACCAGCTTCCCAGCATTCACCTCTAGGCTCCTGGGGAATTTTTACTCATCTCTCCCAAATTTGTATCTGTATCATATTTGCAGGGGCTGATGAGCTCTGAGACTTGATGCCAAACTCATAACTGTATTCAGCTGTTGTAATGAATAAGTCATTCCAGATGTGAAATGTCTGCCCGAAATATAATGAATGTAGGCTACAGCAGCGGCCCTTATTTCCCTTCACGCCGGTGATCAGTCATCAGTCACTCTGTAGCGTGTTGAGGTTTGCGTTGTAATTTCAGTCCCTCTTGCAATGCAAGTGTTACTTTCAGCTCTTGTTTGTGACCTCCTTGTTCAAAGGAGAGTGATTTTGTCATTTTTTAACTCCTTTATATATATTTTTAACCATTTGTGAGACAACATGTTGAATTTCTTGGCATTAGCAACAGTAATGCCAAGTGTATCACATTTGATACATGAGTTTTTGAGGCCTCTGCGTCATCATTGTGATTGTTTTTAACCATAACTTTAATTCCCTTATATGTTTTTGTTGATTTAAGATAAACTAACTGTGAGCAGTAAATTGCACAGAAATGCCAGATGTAGCAAAAATTCTACAAACTAAAACTTATAAATGCAAATTTATTTGAATTTTCTGGCAGTTGTTTCATGGTTCAGGCTTTAAAGGTTTTAGAAAATGATCAGGACGATTAGAATGCATAAATATTTTATAATAAAAGTACTGACATTGAAATGTTTGTGCCATATTTTAGTATGACTTGAACTGTGTATAAAGTAAAGGTGCAATCGGTTATGTTTTTTGTTCACTTCACAAAATTAGACTGCCGTTGTGAGAACCCCAGCAGGGTTAGAGTCACTGCAAATCCATACAAAGTTTTGAGTGAGTACTTGAATTTTTATGAAATGCACTGAATCATTTCTATCCTGATGTGAACGTGTCACAGACCCTGGGTTTTTGGCATTTACTGTTTGATTTCCTATATTTAGTGTTCTGAGTCTTTGGGTTTCATTTTCTATTTAACAATATTTTCCTTGTAGCCTCAGTTTTATATTTATGTTTTCTTACCTTTAGTTTTCTGATCTAGTCTTCTTTGATCATAGTTATGTTGTATAAATCACTTCCTTAGGTTTCAGGTTTTCTGCCTCCCTGATGTTTCCCCGTAATTTGTTGTCAAATCTCCATCCCTGTGCCAGATGTTTCTTATTATACCTCCTGTTTTGTTTGGTAGTCTTTTGCTCCTGGTGCCTTATATTTCCGTCCGTCTGTGCCTTATTCCGTCTGTCCAGCCAACTGCTCCCTTTTCACCTGATTAGGCCTTTGTGTTTTTAATAGCTTCAGTTGCCCTTTGTGTTTGTCGCAATGTCTGTTTATCTCACTGTTGTTTGTTTTTATGTGTTTGACTGTCATGTATTCTGTTTCTCTGAATTTTTGGACAGTTTTCCACCATTAAAGGTGAGCCTTTAGTTAAACCTGCCTGCCTGTAGAGTTTCTGCCTGCTTGTAAAGCTTTTGGGTCCAAAGTCCTTCAAACTATAACAGAATGGCTCCAATGATGACAGTGCACTCATCCACTGGTCAGAAAGGGTCATGGAGTGGTTTATTGTGTATGAAAATTATGTGAATCACATGCGGTGGTCTTCACTGCAATCATAGCAGAAGTTCAGTGCTTTGAGGTAATTGCACACTTCTTAAATAATCGTCACATTTAAAAGATTCAGCCCATCAAACAAATTACAATATTATTCAACTATAGCTTGTCAAAAAATAGAATGCAGTTTTTCACCCTCAGCTGTGAAAGGCTGATGGGTTATTGCCATTACATGATCGGCTGCCTTGGCATCAGAGTTTTTAAATGCAAAAACGAGCGAATGAGGTGAGGTAGGATTTTGAAATTGAAACCATAGGTGCATCTTCTTAAAATTTAGGACGAGTTTGAATCTCAGTGACATAAACTTAAAGGATAAGGTCAGAGGTCAAGTTTTCTGAAAATCTTGTGAATGCGATAACTCAACATTTTTAATGATGATTTTATTTATTAGGGGGAAAAAATATCCAAACCTACCTGGAAGATGTAATTTCACAAGGTAAATGTCACAAGTCAAAATCCAGGCTTCATTACTTCCAGATATGTTAAATCAAGAAATAATTTAAGTCTGATAAAGTAAACTAGGCTAAAAGATCTAAAAACTAACTATGACATGATATAAAGAAGCAGGTGAGAAACAAAGTCATGGAAAGAGTTAAAAGGTCATTTCTCATTGCTTAGGACTCCAGTGAACCACAAATGAGAAAACCTGGTGGAACGCTGGCGAACCTTAACAGGAGTGGCCAGCCTACGAAAATTACTCCAACATTACATTAATGACTAATCCAGATGTCCACAAAAGAACCCAGAAAAAAACATCTAAAGAACTGAGATTTCCAAGGTGAGAATCACTTCTGAGAAAAAAACAACACAAAGGCTCATCTCACATTTCCAAAAAAAAAACATCTTAATGAACTTTTGGAGAAATATTCTGTGGACTGACAAGACAAAAGTTGACCTTTTTGAGAAGTTTGAGTTCTGTTACATCTGGATTGAAAATAATAGCATTTAATAAAAAGGAGATCATATCAACAGTCAAACATGGTGTTGATCGTGTGATGGTCTGAGGCTGTTTGCTGCTTCAAGACCTGGACAGCTTTCCAAATTGATGGATTCATGAATTCTGCTCTCCAGAAAAATCCTGACGGAGATTGTCCACCCTTCAGTTTGAGGTCTGAAGCTCATGGGCTTGATTATGCAGCAGGACAATGATCTGAAGAACACAAGCAAGTCATCTGCATGGCTCAAAAAACAAAAAACAAAATGAAGATTTAGGAGTGGCCTAGTCAAAGTCCAGACTTAAATCTGATTCAGATGATTAATTAAGACCTTATACAGGCCGCTCATGCACGAAAACTCTTTAGTATGACTGAATAAAGACTAATCTAAAAGGAAGAGTGCGACAAAAGACTGAAAAGACTCCTCGCAAACACTTCATTGTGGTTCTTGCTGCCAAGGGTGCCACAAGCATTATTTAGTTTTAGGGGTCAAGTACTTTCACACCAGGCCATTAATAAATGAAAATCATCATTTAAAAAATGCTGTTTGGTTTTACTCTGTTATCTTTATCTAATACTAAAATTGTTTAATGATCTGAAATATTTAAAGTTGCAAATATGCACAGCACTGTATTAGAGGATCAGTGGCAATAAAAAAATATTTTAATGCAGTCAAGACAATTTCTAACAACTACAGCCACACGAGTGTAGCGTGGACCGAGTGTAGCATCACGCTAACAGGTCATGCCAGTTCTTTAAAAATATCTTTATAAAATCAAATAGAAGACACAAGTCCTGTTTTCAACTTGAAGTCAACGCTCTTTAATCACACAGATGATAGCAGGGTGTTTTTCAGTGGCTACTGACGTCAATTGATTCCATAATATTCAAGAGAAAAACATTTTGTGTGTTGTGTGATCAAGGTGAAGTGGAGAGTGTATCTTATTTTCTTTTACACTTTACAAAGCATGATGTGGTAAGAGGGTTTATTTTCCTAGAAAGGGCACACAAAGCACATTCTGGGCACATCTTGGCTTTATTTTGTTGTCTCTAAGTTTATACCATTATCCACTTTTCTGAAGTGTACCATAAAGAATTCGATTTGGGGCCCAGCACAATCTGCTCTAGACCGAATACCTAAAAAGCAGTCTGCACTGGTGACTTACATTTCTTCATTTCCTGATTTTGATAAATGACAAAGGAGTAGAAATTCTTCTCACTCTTTTTCAGGTGTTGATTTACAGTCCAACATTTTTCAAATACGTCTACGAATCGTGGCTTGACAGTCATGGACGATATCCTTCGACCGGTTTCCTCAGTTTGCTGCTCGCTGTCCACATATGTGATGAGGTAAGGAGAACTACTCTAATAGGTAACATATGTGACTGCTCAGTCATTCCTGCCAACACCTCCATTTTTCATAAGTTTCTCCCATATTTCCCTGCCAATTCCTTATTTATTGTTTTTCCTTGGATAGTCCTCTAATTTGTGTGACCCTCAAACTTCATTATGAATAATTGTCATCCTGGTATCCATATTTTTGTGTGTTTATCTGATGTGTTCTAAGATGTCAGATTGTTTTAGAAATACAGTCCAAACACTGCAGATAATTTCAGCCTGCAGTGATGTCATACTCAATTACATCAAGGTAAAATGATAGAATTGTGACCTGGCAAAGATTGAGGAACAGACACAGATAAAATATCCGCACATATCAAGAAATTGAGTATTTAATAAACCTAAAGTGAGATATTTCAGACCTTCTTTGTTTTCATTTTGATCATTATGGCTTACAGGTAATGGAAATCAAAAATAAAATATTATTAGAATATATTATTTTGAGTTTAAGTAAATTAGTATTCAAGTATTAGAAACATCATGGATCTCCTGGTTTAGTTCAATACACACAATCACAATCGTGGGGAAGACTGCTGACTTGACAGCTGTCCAGATGACTATCATCAACACCCCACAGAAAGAGTGCAAACCACAGAAGGTCATTGCTGAAAAGCCTGGCTGTTTTCAAAGTGCTATATCAGGGCACATCAATGGAAAGTTGGAGATTTATGTTCAGTAGTCCAATGTCCTCTTTTCAGTGGAGGACACTGGACTTAAGATGAGGACATTCAGCATTTCATTTGAAAGTCTGTCTGTCTCAAAGTCTGGAGTAAGAATGGAGAGGCACAGAATCTGAAAAGAATCCAAGCTTTATGGAGATGCCAATTTAATTTTCCAGCTGGACTTAGCACCTCCTCACACAGCCAGTACTGCTACAAAACGGTTTACTGTCAAGGTTGTTTTAGTGTGCTTGACTGATGAGCCAGCTTGCCTAACTTGAACCCCATAGAAAATTTATGACATATTGACAAGAGAAAGATGAGAAACTCCAGACCAAAAAAAAAAAAAGACCAATGGAAGAGCACTATAAAAGCAACCTGGGCTAATTCCTCGCCAGTGCCACAAGCTGAGTGCCTCCATGCCAATGTGCTTTGATGTAGTAATTAAGAACTAAGTATACCCATAGAGAGTGTAGAAGAGAAACAGCTACCATAGATCAATTTAAAGCCTCGAGATAAACGTTTCTACTATCACTGGTAATCTGGCATATTTCCAGTGTGCCAACGCACTTTTGGGCCAATCGACTGGTCTGAAGAGCCACCGCACACTGGCCGTACAATCACTGATAGCATCCCATTCGTTCCTTTCCATTACTGACACTGGATTGCACATTCAAATCTCTTAATGCGAGATTTGAATGTGCCCTCATAAAAAACGTTCAGTGTGGAAGAACAAAACAATAAAAAGAATGAAGTTTTTTATTCAATATGACCCAAAATGAGTGACTGAGGACATAAACGCTGAAGTCTTTTTTTAACCATTGCTATCACTATCTGGTAGCGTTCAGAAGTGCTTCTGCAAAGATGTTGACTAAACTTCCAATGTCAATATCGCCTTAATGAAATATTGTTCAAATTAAAGAAACACTTTCCTCCAGTTGCTGTAGTTGTTTCACTTGTAGAGACACATTTCTTGAAACATTTCACCCTTTTCTCATAACTCTAAAAACAAAACCCAATTCTCAAACTACATTCGCAAAACCGTTGACTCTTCTGGAAAAATCTAAAAACCCATCCAAACAGTTTTATCTGTGTCAGAACCACACAATGTTCTGCTCATGCATACAGAGAGTAAAAATAAGAACAAAACTGAGCTTTCAGTACACCCTACATGAAACAATGAAAAGCACAGTGTTCAGGGGATGTATCCCAGGCCTTTAAACCTCATATTGATGTCTTAGAAGTCTACAAAAAATATGAAGCAAAAGCAAAAATGGACAATGGCTGAGATATGTCTCCCTTCTTTAAAAAAAAAAAAGAGAAATTATAGGTTGTGTTTAAATTCAGTTGCTCACCTGAAATTACTTTTCTTGACCTGGCTCCACCTCTTCTCCTCAGATTGTTTCCATTGCTTGTTGAATTGATCAGGCTTGTATTGGTTAAATGGCATCATTCGTGACAACAGCGAACTATTTTGTGTAGACAATGAGCTAGAACCAAATTTTCATCAAAATGAGCCATCATCTGATCTAGCCAAATTGAATTCAGTTTCTGTGTAACAGGCTGTGGGATGAGTGCATCCAGACCATCTACAAATTACAACAATTTCTCTTTTTAAATAAAAAAAAATAGGTAGTAGAAACAAAATTGTTTTCTAGTGTCACCAAAATCTCATCACATATCACTGGCCTCATGTGGTGATACTGCACAGTGTATTTCTGTAAAAAATCAATTTCAAAGTTTGCAAAATGCTTCCACAACTGGACTTGTGAAGCAAAGATCGCTCTGTTGATGATTAAAAAAAGGCATTTGGAGAACTTTGGAGATACTGCAAAGTATGTTATTATGCACTAAGAGCATCTGTGGTTGTTTCACTGTGATTAACCTTGTCTCTTACAGGTCAGTGTGTTTGGATTCGGTGCAGACCAGTATGGAAACTGGCACCACTACTGGGAGGAGAACCATTTGGCCGGAGCTTTCCGACACACAGGAGTCCACGATGGAGATTACGAATATAATGTCACCCTGCTGCTGGCAGACAAGCACAAAATCCGAATGTTTAAAGGCAGATGATACCGAGCCCATATGTGCAGCTGGATGACCACCAAATGAACCTCAGCAGCCTTTTAATGTTCATTACCCACCAAAAGAAGAATTTTGTTTTCGTTTTATTTCTTTATTTTACAGATTCCAAAGACATTTTCACTATTCTGCTCAGCCCAGTTTCCTGTCATTTACTGAAGTGGCTGTTTAACAAATGTCACTTCTATTGTCACACCAGGAGACGAGGACAGGCCATTCATAAGACAAAATCAGCACTGCCATGGGAGACTGAGCAGATAATAGTAGAAGGGAGACGAAGATGTATGTTAATAAGCATGTTATTATAAAAAGCTGAAGTTCTACTACATAGTATGTGTATAATCCATGTGTCGCTTTTCTATATACGGTAATGATGTCCAGCACTGTGGCCACCAAAAGCTTTGTATGCTAATGATCAGACCAAGTGCCGTAATTACCGTTAATGTCATTCAATTGCCTCTGTTTTTGTCAGACCCACCAATTTTTTAATGTGCAACCTGCACTAAAAAGCTATTTATTAACTTGCTTTCCTGATTACAGCTGTAAAATAAAGTTTAATGACACTAAAGGGGTGCTTAAAATTGAACCCAAAATCTAGCCCCAAGAAATTATTTTACTACATTGGGACATTTACAGAAAACCCCCAGGACTACAGCCACATCTATGGGAAATACTTAAGTGTTCAGTCCAAATGTCAAACACTTTGTCATCCCTACATACTAAGTTTTGCAGTATAGTTTAAAAAATAACCATATTGTCAATGCTAGAGCAAAAATTAAGTCTCTATCAAAAAGAGTCTAAAAATGACTATGCACTTTGTTTTGCGACTAATAAGCTTCAATAGTGCTATGTATTTCAAGCCAAATGTTAGCTGTCTAACCTGCTAAGCTATGATGGAGAACATGTTAAACATTCCTTGTGCTAATAATGCTAGCATTATCATAAAGAGCATTTTAGCATGCTAGTATTGAGCCCAAGTTCGCCTGTGTCTCACAGAGCTGCTGGTATATGCAGTGTTTTAATTTTCCCACACTTAATCTTATTTTCTCCTTATTTTGTTGAAGATTTGTGGGCTGTAGTGTTTTTTGTGACACAAGTATGTATCTCCTAGCAAGTCAGAATTAGCACGGTGACACAAAAAAAAATTAATAAGCTAGTTCCTTAGTTGTCACTCTCTGTGCTCGCTGTGCACTGAGGGTACAAATAAGACTTAGCTTTTTAATCTTATTCTTCTTATTTTGTTGGATATTTCTTGACTGTGATGGTTGAGAAGTAGACACACAAATCTGAGCTAGCACGCTGGTACTCATGGGCTACATTACAGTATCCACCTCCTCTATCATTGGCTTTTTCAGATATGTCTCAGTCACATAGAGAACAATAGAATGACCACCTCCTTGTGACTAGGAAAAATCAGTCATTGTTTGTACTGACTTTTTTCACATTGGCGACTTATTTCAAATAGTTGGGACCAACAACTGGTTGCTTAAAGGTTAAGTGTCTAACAGTCAACAACTTGTAATTCAACAGCTTGCCACCAAAATTATATTCTCATTATGTCTTTATATATAAGCAAAGTTGCTGAGCGCCAATGTCATCTTGGAGTTAAATGACCGTAATGCAGCAACTATATTATTTGTGGAGGGATTTCTGAATTTTAAATCCATGGTTCTGGTTGGCAGTAGCAGTTAATGTAAATTTCTGTTTAAAATGAATTTCTGTGGATACAGACAGCAATGAATTTGTATTTTTCACCAGTTTAACACAGTTGATCACCATATTAACAAAATCTGACCGCATTTAAACGCTAACTTAACCCCATTCAATTGCAAACTGATAGCAGCAACTAACTCCATCTTATTGCTGTTGCATTGCCATCCTTGAAGTCAGCAAGGATGAGAGTAGTCCCAGACCCAGTCTTTGTTTTCAAAGCAACTTCTTCAAAGGACACCAGTTCAGTCATTTTCATTTTCTCTAGTTGTAGTATCGAATTTTCTACCCACAGTTTAAGTGTTACATACCCAGTGTGTATTAGGAGAGATGACTGTAATGAAAAATCTCTTGAAATTTTCATGAATTATATGAATTATTTCCATCTCTTTGACAGAGGGCTGGCCTGAGCTACATATTCAGAGCACAGACATTACATTAGACAGGATGCAGCGTGTGCTTCAGCTGCTTTCACTAAAAATACCATAATGTGGCACCTTCCTGCGGCTTTATGTGGCGGTGTGGGCGTGTTAATATGTAAAATGTAACCAAGGTGAAACAGAAAATAATGTTTTATTGCTCTTATTTGTTCCCGTGATCACTTCTCTCTCTCTCACCACTAACCACTGTGGCTCTCTCTCGCTCTCTTGTTGAGCTGAGGTGAAGGGGGTCAGCTTTTGATGTTTCTCACAATTTCAGCACATTCTACATTTGAAATTGTAGAATACCAACACCAACTTAGTTTCTGTTCTAGACAGAAAGAAAGTTTGGTGCTTGGAATTTGTTTCTTTTATTAAATCTGCTGGGCCAAAAGGACTCTACTGGAGACCTGCAGCTACCTGTGGATTAAGAGTTGTGTTATAGCAAAGCAATCAATGAGATTGTGCCATTGGGTGTGATGGAAAAATGATAGAAAGGTTTTCAGTGTTTGCAGCGTAACACAAACAGCGGGTTCTTTGTCATCGATCATTAACACCTGACATACGAACCAGCCTATACAGGGGTGCCTTATCATTGAAATCAGTGATGTAGTATACATTTTTTGATGTATTATGTGACACAGTTTGTAAATGAAAAGTATGTGTAAAGTGCCTTACAGTTAAAGTGTACTGTATTGTTGTGTAAATCTGACACTCATATGCTTGGTACACACAGTATAGCTGTCTCATTTATTGTCAGTAAGATGCCAACATGTTTTGCACTTTTTGATGAGGTGTTGCTCTGTTTTGTCCAGACTTTATTAGCTTGCTGATCACACTGAACTCTCACCTTCTTATTTTTACTCACAGACGTCTGACCTGAAATGTTGTGCTTGTTCAGATGATGCAGGAGTTAGGCTTAGCTGCAGTAACAGGCTATGATTTGCTCTGTGTGCCTTGTAACAGATTAGAGACATTTGTCTGGCCGGTGTCTTTTCTTCATTCCCGCACACACAGAGACAAACCACAATTTGTTTTTTCCTGTCACCATGAATTCATTCAGCTGCCACAGAAAACAACAGTGGTGTGAATGTGTCATACAGGGAGCAGGGAATACTGCCACCTAGTGGACAAAAACGTGGGTCAGCATTAACGTGTTTTGATTTGGTATTATATGATTCAGTATGAACTGGCACTTTTCAAACTGTATTCATTGTTTATCGTTTAAATAAACTAAGTAGTGCAGTTGTTTCAGTCTTCACACACACACTAGCTGTGAAGATGGATGTATGTAAGACTAAGACACAAAATAAAGGCTCCAATGAAAAGAATGGGTGACTTCATTTAGTTTTACAGAAAACTGTTAAACACACGGTCTGACACAAATTAGGCTGGAAAATTCCTACAACAGCTCAGCTGGTTTCTTATATCTGTTCAAGCTTTTTTGTTTCCTTTGTATTCGTTTTTTTACTGATATCTTGTTGGAATTTGTTAGTGATTTATATCAAAGAAAGTTCAGTCATTTAGTGTAAGCCTAACTCAAACACAGTGAACAAAACATTTTAGGGTTTTTTTTAGAAATCACATACACCCTGTCCTCAAGGCTCAAAAAAAGAGGAGCAACATTTCTCTTGAGTGATATAGGTTATAAAACAAAAAATGGTCCTCTCCAGATGATGCCTTTTCAGGGAAGGTCTTGCTTAACCCAGAAGATATTCAACAGCACGGCCATTCCAGCAGCGTAGCTTTGTGGTTTAAAAAAAAGAAGACCATGTGCAAAACTGGTGTGACTGCAGCCCAGGCCAGTCACCCACAGAAAGCTACAGAAAACAGGCTCATGATTTTCTGAACCTTTACAGAGTATCAGCGGTGATGCGACACAGTGACACACATGCTTCAGACAAAAGTATTCAACCCTTCAATATTAAAAAAAGATCAGTTTTGCTGTTCTACATATTTGCTAGATTTGTTAATTAGAGTTAACATTAAAAAGTTTAAAATGTAAAAACAACCTGTGTCATGTGACTGACATTGACATGTGTCTTCTGTCTTCATCTTTCCATTGCTCCTTTTGAGGGTCCCATAACATCCTCCTCTGTCACACCAACCCTCTGCATGGCCTTCCTCTTTTCCTTCTGCCTGGCAGCTCCATTGCTACATCTTCAACACCCTTTATCCAATTCCACTTCCCTCCTGTGCACATGTCCAAAGCATCTCAGCCTTGCCTCTCTGATTTTGTCTAGTGGAGATGTCATTTTACAAGATTCTTGTCAACACACTCATGGCAAGGCATGCTATATTAGCAAGAGCATGTGATACATATAAATCTATCTATCTATCTATCTATCTATCTATCTATCTATCTATCTATCTATCTATCTATCTATCTATCTATCTATCTATCTAT